CATGCCCCTGACCGGAATCGAACCCGGGACCCTTCAGTCCCCAAGCCGATGCTCAATCCATTGAGCCAAACCAGTTTCGGCTTTAAGATAATTTTTTAAAATATATATTTTATTGATTTTTTTTTTTTTTTTACAAGGAGGAATTGAGAGGGATAGGGAGTTAGAAACATGGATGAGAGAGATTTTGTCTACAAGAGTACAACCCTCTCCATCGATACTTAACAAGGCGATTGCATGAAAATAACCTCGCTGGGGCTCTGGCTGCGGAGGGTGGGGGCTGGCGCGTTCGGATGCCCCTGCGGGTTCTCGGCTGTGGGTGCCCCTCGGCCTGCTTCTCACCACCCACGCGGGCACGCCCTTGTCTGTCCTCTGCAGGTGCGGACTCCGCCGGCTGGCTGCCGTCTCACAGCCTCCCGCTCCTTGTTTTGTGTCTTCCTTGGAGCCATGGGTACGTGAGCCCGCCCTCCACGCCGCTGCCCTGCCCCCGGCTGGCACGGTCACGTTCCCCAACCCAGAGATGGGAAGATGCCTCCTTTGGAGAAGGCCTCGGCCCCCCCAGGACCTCCCCGACTCCCCCTGCACTGCCCGTGCCAGGATGGCGGCGGGAGACCCGCTGGAGGACCCCAGGACCACCTGCAGGAGGATGCCTGCCATCCCGGACGTCTCCCACCTCCTCCGGAACCTCGCCCGCCAGGCCCTCGCCAGGCTCTGCCCACTGTGCCGCCCGCCACGGCCGCAGCCAAAGGCGCGCTCCAAGGAGCGGGCGCTGGAGCGGGATTCCTTCTTGAAGATCGGGCCCAGCGAGGCCAGTCCATCGGCGCACCCTCCCCAGGGCAGCCAGGTGAGGGGAGCATGCTGAGTCATTTGGTCTGACCCTGCCGAGGCGTGAGGGGTGAGTTAATTAAACGTTGGACCGAATACAGCCGGCTCATGTTGACGTGGATGATTCTGCATGGCCTCTGGACGACGTGCTAAATGCCCCAAGGGCCCTCGCCAGAGGAAGGCTCCCGCCCCGGGAGTTCAGTTCCCCCGCGTGTGAGAGGATCAGAGGTGAGCACCCCTCAGCGGACGGCGCAGCTCTGCTGTCTGCAGGACCGGGTCCCACCACCCACCACCCTCGACCCTCGGTTCTGTTACAAAACTGTTGGCCTGGGCCCGGGGTCGGCAAACTGCGGCTCGCACGCCACATGCAGCTCTCTGGCCCCTTGAGTGTGGCTCTTCCACAAAATACCACCCCCCCGGCGAGTCTATTTTGAAGACGTGAGGTTAGAAGTGTTTTTCAACCTTTTTTGGGCAAAGGCACACTTGTTTCATGAAAAAAATCACGAGGCACACCACCATTAGAAAATGTTAAAAAATTTAACTCTGTGCCTATATTGACTATATATAAAGTAATTCTCTTGAATAGGAATCAAATAAACACAAAGAAAGTATTTTATAATTACTTTATTATGAAATATTAAGTAAACAAAATAGTGAAAAATTATAAAATTCTTGTCTTGTCTGCACCTACGGCACACCAGGCAACATCTTGCGGCACACTAGTGTGCCGCGGAACAGCGGTTGAAAAACGCTGGGTTAGAAGAAATTCAAGTTTTAAAAAAATGTGGCTCTCAAAAGGAATTTCAATCGCCGTCCTGTTGGTATTTGGCTCTGCTGACTAATGAGTTTGCCGACCACTGGCCTGGGCAACTGTGACTCCCTCGTGGGTCTTCGGTTGGGACAGCGCGGCATGTTCACTGTCTCTTTGAGCCTGAGCGTGAGATGAGCGTATTCGATGTGACCTTCCATGAGTTTACCAAGGTGCCCACCTTGGTTTCTGCCCTCCCCGGACCCTGGCGCTCACAGCCCCTGCCTGTGAGGCCTGCGGCTCCCGAACCCGGGCCGGCGTCGTGGCCTGAAGGCATGGGCTTTCCGGGCCTCCTCGGGGCAGAGACAGGGTCGCTTGGCCTTCCTGGGTCTCCCCTCTCCTGTGGACAGTAGGTCCCAGAACCCCCCTTCCTAGGAGGCTCCCAGGCTCCTGAGCTCCTCGTAGTTTTAATTTTAGATCCTTTTCAACGTGGCTTTCCTCTGGATTGCCACCACTTCCCACCTGCCCACCCCGAAATCTCTTAGCCCAGGGGTCTTCAAACTTCTCTCATTATGAGAATCACCTGGTGGAGGTGTTAAAACACAGATTCCTGATAGCACTTCTTATAGTTGGGATCCGGGAATCTGTGTTTTAACAACTCCACCAGGTGATTCTCATAATGAGAGAAGTTTGAAGACCCCTGTTTAGCCTGTCCATCCCCCAACCCCAAGCTGGGTGTGGCTCTGGTAATTAAAAAACAAACACAACAACTACATTTACTGTTTCAGCTCTTGTTGCTAGCCGGACCCATAGAGTTCCATTCTGCCTCAGGGAGATCCCCCCCAGAATGCATCCCACTCAGCTCTCAGGCCCACGGGCACCTCCTCTGTCACCATGACATCCCTCCCTCCCTCGGTGTCCTCAGCTCCCTACCCGATGTCTCTGTCCGTGCACAGCTGATGTGCGTGTCTTGTTTACTTTTTTATTTGGAAGTGACTTAAACCTTATAGAAAAGGCACAAAAATCATGACAGTACAGAGCTCACAAAGATTTCCTCACCCAGACCCACCTGTTCACATGTTCACACACACACACACACACACACACACACACACGGGGGTGTTCGAAGTCCACATAGCTCCTGTTGGTGATTCTTTTGTTGCCCAGTTTCTCTACCATCAAATTACTGCTTCTCCTCCCCCCCCTCCCCAGGCAACTAATAGTTGATCTATGAGGAGACCTTGAAGATAATGTAGATACCCAGTTTCTTACCAAAGTACACTAGGTCCAGCCTCCATTCATTCTTTTTTTTTTTTTTTTGTAATATATTTTATTGATTGTTTACAGAGAGGGAGAGAGAGAGAAAGCCAGAAACGTCGATGAGAGAGACATCGACCAGCTGCCTCCTGCACACCCCCCGCAACCAACGTACATGCCCTTGACCGGAATCAAACCCGGGACCTTTCAGTCCGCAGACCGACGCCCTACCACTGAGCCAAGCCGGTTTCAGCAAGCCTCCATTCATTCTTGCTGAATTCCTCCATTCAATCAGTCTTCAGCATTGAAGGCTGCAGGGTGTCCATGACCCAGTGCCAGCCCTCCCTCCCTGTTGTCGCTCAGCCCTGGGCACCTCTTTTTGCCCATTTACTCGTCATTATCAGAGGCATTCATGGGCTCCCGTTTTCTCAGTGGTTTGTAACTCACTGCCACCCTTACTGGTTTCGGTGCTCAAGTTGTGCCAGATGTCACGAGTCTTACAGGAAACCTGCACCCTGTGGCATACCCCCACCACTTTTGGAAACTTAAAAAAATATATATATTTTACTGATTTCTTTAACAATGTATTTTATTGATTTTCTACAGACAGGAAGAGAGAGGGATAGAGAGCTAGAAACATCGATGAGAATCATTGATCAGCTGCCTCCTGCACACCCCCAACTGGGGATGTGCCTGCAACCAAGGTACATGCCCCTGACTGGAATCAAACCCGGGACCCTTCAGTCCTCAGGCCGACGCTCCATCCATTGAGCCAAACTGGCCAAGGCTAAACCTATCATTTTTTATAACTATATTTTCAGTTCCCCGTATCTTTATGCCCCTTTAACGATGAGAACTCAGATCCACACAATTAACAAAAAATTTATGGATGCTCAAGTACCTCTAAAAGTTTCAGGCCTTGGCTGGTTTGGCTCAGTGGATAGGGCGTCAGCCTGCAGACTGAAGGGTCCCAGGTTCGATTCTAGTCAAGGACATGTACCTTGGCTGCAGGCACATCCTCAATAGAGGGTGTGCAAGAGGCAGCTGATCAATGTTTCTAACTATTCTTCTTCTCTGTAAAATCAATTAAATATATTTAAAAAAAATAAAAGTTTCAGAATTGCTTTTTCAAATCACTACAAACCTACCGAAAGGAAATTATTGCAAAATAATGCAGATAAGTAATTTGATTGTTTAAAATACACTGATACTTCACATAGGATTCAAATCTGTGAGACTGGTTGCCATGTATTTTTTTTTAGGTAAAATTTTATTTTATTTTAAAAATATTTCTATTATTTTGTCTTGTAAAGGTGGGGAAAAGCATCCTAGGTTTGTCTTGATGGGGCGAGAAACAATGCATAGATGCAGTCAGGGAAGGGGAAGTCAAGGGGAATTGTAACATCATCACTAGCATTCCGTGCTTGATCGTTCCCTACTTGGTACAGATATTTCAGGGAAAATTCAAACCTGAGATGTGTTCTTGGACCAGGGAAGTGATTCATACACAGACCAGAAGACTTTGTCATGAGATGGTGGTGATGCACTTGCATGTGGAACACTGTGTGTTATTTTTTTTTTCCTTTAAAAAATTTTTTTAATACTTTATTTTTTATTTTATTTATTATTTTTAAAATATATTTTATTGATTTTTTTTTTGCTTCCCTCCCTCCCTCCCTCCCATCTGCGTGTTATTTTTAGAGAGTATGACCGTCAGTTGGCACCACTCACAAACACTTCCCAACCCAAAGCATGTAATGTGAGTTAATGATCAGGTCGCACTGCCCTTGGATCTTGTATATGAAAGGCACCTGTTGGGTCTTCAACAGTTTTGTGAATCTGTGGACATAAGTCATGTCCAAACTCACTACATTTTCCCACTTCTCTCTTCTGTGGGTTCTGCAATGTTATTGGGTACTCATGGCTGAAGGACCTCCACCTTGGTCAGCTCCACATTTCCCTAGGATTGACCTGAAGAGTGTACTGTGTGTGAAAGCAAGTGTATGTCCTATTGCTCATCAGAACAAATGGGCTCAAGTCGGGAAGGGATGAACAATGGCTTAAGCTAGGGGTGTCGAACTCAATCAGAGAAGGGGCCAAAATCTAAAATCCAGCCTAAATCGCGGGCCGAATGGTTTACTGAACAGTCATAAACTGTCATTGTGATGGAAACGCAGCGGAGTGCAGTGATGACAGTGCGGTGCGGGCCACATTGCAAGGCCTGGCGGGACGGATTTGGCCCGCGGGCCTTGTGTTTGACACATGTGGCTTAAGCCATTGGCCCAGCCCCTGTAGAGCATACTACTAGTGTGTGAAGGTGTGTGCATAAGTCTGTGATATTGTCCCTGAGTATGACTGGGTCAAGTGTAGGAAGGGAAGAGATGAACGGTGGCTTAAGGCTTCCAATGGCCCAGCTCCTGTAGAGTGCCTCTACCCAGTATGAGTTCTCTGGTGCTTGGTCAGGGAGGAGCTTTGTGTGAAGGCCTTCCCTTAGTCCCTGCGCTCAAATGGCTTTTCTCCTGTGTGGATTCTTCGGTGACGGGAGAGATTAGTGCTCCGCCCAAAGGACTTCCCACAATCTGGACATTCATATGGCTTTTCCCCAGTGTGTGTCCTCTCGTGCTGGCCGAGGGATGAGCTCCGACTGAAGGACTTCCCACATACGCTGCACGTGTAGGGTTTTTCTTTGGTGTGGATCCTCTGGTGCTCTATGAAGCGGGAGCTCTTGCTGAAGGCTCTGCCACACTCGTCACACTCGTAGGGCTTCTCCCCCGTGTGGGTCCTCTGATGCTGAATGAGTGAAGACTGCTGTCTGAAGGCCCCGCCACACCCGTCACACGCATAGGGCTTCTCCGCGGTGTGGACTCGCTGGTGTTTGGTTAGGGATGAGCTGTATCTGAAGGCCCTGCCACAGTCACTGCACTCATAGGGCTTCTCCCCCGTGTGGATCCTCTGATGTTGAGTGAGGTGTATGCTCTGCCGGAAGGTCTTGCCACAGTCACTGCATCCATAGGGCTTCTCTCCAGTATGTGTCCGTCCGTGGTGCCTGAGTAACGAGTCATGGGTGAAGGTTTTTCCACACTCCTTGCACCTGTAGGGCTTCTCTCCAGTATGTGTCCATTTGTGTTGTCTGAGTAATGCGTTCTGGTTGAAGGCTTTTCCGCACTCCTTGCATCTGTAGGGCTTCTCCCCCGTGTGGATCCTCTGATGTCGACTGAGGTGTATGCTCTGCCGGAAGGCCTTGCCACACTGACTGCACTCATAGGGCTTCTCTCCAGTATGTGTCCGTTCGTGGTATCTGAGGGATGAATTGTGGGAGAAGGTTTTTCCACACTCCTTGCACCTGTAGGGCTTGTCCCCGGTGTGAATCCTCTGATGTTGACTGAGGAATGAGCTATATGAGAAGGCCTTGCCACAATGACTGCACTCATAGGGCTTCTCTCCAGTATGTGTCGACTCATGGTACCTGAGGGATGAATTGTGGGCGAAGGTTTTTCCACACTCCTTGCACCTGTAGGGCTTGTCCCCGGTGTGGATCCTCTGATGTTGAATGAGGAGTGTGCTATACCGGAAGGCCCTGCCACACTGACTGCACTCGTAGGGCTTCTCTCCACTATGTGTTGACTCATGGTACCTGAGGGATGAACTGTGGGCAAAGGTTTTTCCACACTCATTGCACCCGTAGGGCTTCTCCCCTGTGTGGATCCTCTGATGCTTCCTCAGGAGTGGACTCCTGCTGAAAGCCTTCCCACTTCTGTTGCCTGCGTGGGGCTCCTCACCTGTGTGACTTCTTAGGGGCTGGGTCGGTGGGTCCGTGTGGTTCGAGGACCCCTCACACAGCGTGCACTCCCAGGGCTGCTCGCCAGGAAGCACGCCCTGGGGTTCGGGAAGTGGAGAGCTCCAGAAGCCTTTTCCACGTTGGCGACTGTTGTGCGGTCTCCCTCCTGGCTGTGTTTGGTGCTGGTGGGTGAGTGAGGAGCTGTGACGAGAGGCCTCGGCACCTTCCTGACATCCATAGCGTCTTTCTGCCGCACTGGTTTTCTGTTGCACGTGTGAGTCCAGGTTCTCGCCTTTCCCCCGTGACCCACACCTGGGAGGGTCTTGTCCTTCAGGCGTCATGGGCTGACTTGGGACATGAGGGCTCAGAGTTACGTTTTCCCCAAACCCGATCCTGGGCTGCTGCCGCTGAACAGATGTCCTTGTAGGCGTGCAGGCCTCCTGCACCCCGAGGCCATCGAGGCTCGCGCGGCTCTGTTCCCTGTGCCCCTCGGCGTCTTCACCCCGAGAGCCCCACAGACCGTCCCACGGGAGCCTCCCCACCAGGACAAGGCTGGACAGTTCCTCAGAGGCGTCTGGCTTCGCAGCTGACAGCTTGTTTTTCAATCCCGTGTCCGAGCCTGAAAACAGAACAGAACATGGAATCGTCCCTGGATCCCGGTTCTGGGAAGGGGAGGTTATCGGTGACTGTGTGGATGGAGGAATTAAAACGACCATTTCAACAGGTTCAAGACTCCACCGGATGGGACCATTGAACCATGTGGCTTTCCAACCAGAGAAGGGACAGAAGAGGGAGGGAACGTACAGAAAACAGGGAGGGGAGTTGGCAGCACAGGCACAGATGGGGCTGCCAGGGGGCACAGAGAACTGGAGCAGAGAAGATGCTGAGGAGTGGGTGACCCTTCAGGGCACACAGGTCCACAGATGCCCATCCCGAAGGACAACAGTGGGCACAGGTGACCGCTGCAGCCAGGCCATGGCTGGTGGCCGAGAAGCTGCCCGTGGGAAGGAGCACGCCGCCCTCCTGCTGTCAGAGGGAGCCTCTTCCGGGGGCCCCTCGCCATGCACTACCTCCCCCCAGAGGTAAAGAGAAGCGTAAGCCCGGCCAGGGTGGCTCAGTGGTTGAGCAATGACCCATGAACCAGGAGGTCATGGTGTGATTCTCGGTCAGGCCACGTGCCCAGTTGTGGGTTCGATACCCAGTAGGGGGCGTGTAGGAGGCAGCCAATCAATGATTCTCTCTCGTCATTGATGTTTCTCTCTCTCAATCTCCCTTTCTCTCCGAAAACAATGAAACAAGTGTGTTTTATTGGAAACTGCTAAAACACCCGTTGCCCAGGGAATGGATGGATGGCTGTGTGTGGGTGCCTCTGTCTGTCTCTAACCAGCACCACCGGAGCCCCCTGCCTCCCGCTGCACCCCACCAACAACGGGGGTCCACACGCCTGCTGAGTGGGACACGTGTGCAGCCCCCCCTCCGTGCTGGCAGGACCCCTTTCGGCCCTGTCCCCGCCTCCACCCCACATAGAACCGGCCTAAGGCTGTGATAGGACCGTGTCTCCCAAAGGCGTCCTCTAGGAATCTCGGTGACACTCATCTCACCTGGGCACACACCTCGTGGGACCTCCTCATCCGGCGGCCACGGCGCTGCCTCCTGACCCATCGGGAAGGGGAGGGGCCGTTTTGGGATCTGACCTCCTGCTCAGGGAGACCCAGGGCGTGAGCATCTGTGTTGCTGGGCCCCTGCCAACCCTCCAGCCACTCCACCTTGGCTCTTCCAGGATCGAGTAGCTGGGAACCCAGGCAGGCCCCGGTAATGTCAGCTTCCGGGTGCTCCCCTCACCTCCGTCCCTAACCCCACCTCGGCTCTGGGGTGGACAACCCAAAGCTTTCCCTGGGCCCCATGGACACGGCTCACTCTTCCAGTTCGGAGGGCCCCTCTGCGAAGGTGACAGAGGTGCCGAGCAAGGGAGGGGCCTGCTGACAGCAACCCAGGTCTGACCTGGGATTCTGCAGCCCTGGGGCCCCTGGCCCCGTGATTCCCGCCTCTAGAACTCTCAGGTGGGATCTGTCACGTGGAGGCCAAACATCCTCCACGATGTTCCCCAAACCCAAACAGTCGGGTCCCTGGGGCCCGAGGCCCATGAGTGACCTGCTCTTCATTCCTAGACCAGCGGTTCTCAGCCTGTGGGTCCTGACCCCTTTGGGGGCCGACAGATGCCTTCACAGGGGTGGCCTAAGACACCCTACATGTCAGATATTTACATTATGACTCATAACAGAAGCAAAATCCCAGGTATGAAGTAGCAACAAAAGTAATTTTATGGTTGGGGGGGGTCACCACCACAGGTGGAATGGTATTAAAGGGTCGAGGCGTTAGGAAGGCTGAGAACCACTGGCCTAGACCCACCCCCACGGGGGACCCAGAAGACGGGGCTTCATTCCAGGGGAGGACTGTGAGGGGCACGGGAGGGGGGGAGGACTGTGAGGGGCTTACCCACAGAGACCAGGAGCCCCCACGTCTCCAGCATCACCTCGCGGTGCAGGGCTCTCTGGGCAGGTGTCAGCCACCCCCACTCCTCCTGGGTGAAGTCCACGGCCACGTCCTCAAAGGTCACCTCCTCCTGGAAGGTCACCCAGGAGCTTCCTCAACGGGCAGGCCCGGCCCTGGCTCCCACCGGGGGGAGGTGGGACAAGGCCCCGCTGGGAGGCAGGGGGTGGGGGGTCTCAAGGCAGAGCCCCTTGAGAGCGTGGGGGCAGGGTGCACTCACCGGGAACCACGCGTCCAGGGGCCCAGCCGTCATCCCCTCCTCCTCTGGCCTCTGGCAGGGACAGCCGGCTGCTCTGCGGGCGGTTCTTGGGGGAGAGAGGACGGGAGGCCCCGAGCAGGTGTCTGTGGGGACCGGGAGCGGAGGACCGGAACCCATGCCTGGAGGTGGAAGGAGCAATGGTGGTGACAGAGCCTGAGCCCAGCGCCCAGACGGACCGGACAGCAGTGACCCTCAGCTCGGCGTTTCCCGGGCCCCTGCAGGGAGCCGGGGCTGCTCCGGGCGCTGCTGGTGAACGCTCGCACAGGTACACACGCCCGTTCCACAGCCTGGTCACACAGACGACTTCCAGAGGGATGACGGTTCCTGTCCTGGATCCTCTGGGAACGGCTGGGTGTGCCTCAGGTTCCCGTTCCCCTACAGGGAGGGCGGTGGCGGACATGGATTTCGCCAGAATGAAGGTGCCACCACGTCTGGCCGTGAAGCGGACCCAAGTCCGTGCACATGGGTTTGACTGCTGCTGAGACTTTGCGAGCCATTTTATGTGTGAAATATATTGTAATTTAACAAATTCTTGTGAAAAATTTCATGACCTTTTAAAGGACAGCAATCTTCTAAAAAAAAAATTCACTCAAATGAGAAATATGCCAAAGAATAAAATAATGCTATACATACCGTATTTTCCGGCGTATAAGACGACTTTTGAAACGAAAAAAAGTCAACCGAAAATCGGGGGCAAAAGACCAAAATTGCACAAAAATTACCTGCAGATCTTGAAGGCAAAGTCTTTTTTTTTGAAGTGGGGGGTAGTCTTATACAGCGAATACAGGCCTAAACCTATGTTTTAACTGTAAAATTAGGGCGTCGTCTTATACACCGGAAAATACGGTAATTTTTTTATTTATTATATTTGTAAATTGTACTTAGGTTGAAACTTTAAAAAATATATTACAATACTACTTTTGCGTTCTATGAAAATTTTTGTAGCTCCATATAGACCAAATTTTTAATCAACCCCCCACCCCCACTCTATACACACACACACAGACACACACACGGTCAATGGTGTCCCGCTTTACCAATGTTAAAATCTGGTCATCATGCTACGGTAGAGCCTAATTTGGGCCTGTCTGCTTTCTTGGCACTTCATTGGTCTGCTCGGGTGGTGGTTGGGCACCTGGGACATTTCTAGCATTATTGTGGTTTTTCCCGGAGGGAGGTGATTCTGGCGACCGGATGAAGCGCCTAGCACGGAAATGGAGCCTCTGCCCTTTGACCCCCACCCTCGGCATCCGGTCCCTCCGAGCGCAGCGGGCAGCCTGGCTGCGGGCACTGCAGGGTCCGCTCGGGGAGCCTGTCTCTCCGATGGGGGCCCAGCGCCAGGAGACGCCCCGCAAACTGCCCCAAAGCCGGGACCCCCACACCGAGCGCCCCGAAGCGTGCCCCCCTTCCCAGAGGAGAGACCAGGCACGGCCGCGCGCAGGGGGGTGCACACCTCGGCCGGCGCCCCGGGGAAGACGCGGGGTCCCCTCCGGCTGGGCCTCCGCGCCCTCGGGGCACCCCAATTCGCTCACCGGACTGAGCGCGCAGACTGCACCGGCCGCTACTTCGCCTGCGCGGGCCGCGACGGGGTCCACTTCCCAGAGGGCTCCGCGCCCCGGTCCGGGTCCTTCGGGCTCGGCCCGACCCGCCCGGGACTGTGGAACCGCCGGTCTCAGCCGCCATGACCCTCCCGGGTCGCACTTCTGTCCACGAGGCCGCGGCCACCATCCGCGGGCCGACGAACTACAACACCCAGAAGGCTTCGCGCGCGCTCCCGGTCGTTCCACGTTCGCCCCGCCCGGAGCAGCCGCCTCACCTGTGAGGCTCACACACCTGCCCGCCTCGGCCTCACTTCCTACCCGAAACCTCCCGAGCCGAATTCTGCGGTCGTAACCCAGGGCTACGGCGACGTCCGTTAGTGAGGTCTGCGCTAGCGCCGGCGGGCACGGAACTACAACTCCCAGAGGGCCGCGCGCGAGGTCGGGACGCAGCTTCCCAAGCGGGTGAGATGATTCCTGAGGAAATTCCGATCCCTGGGGCTTGTCCCCCTGTCTCCCCTCCATATAAGTTCGCCGCCCGCTCGCAGGTAGTCGCGCCACCCCGGGGCGACAAAAAGCAGGGACGTGAGGAAGGAGGGGATAAGAAAGAAGGACGGGGGTACTGACCGGAAGGAAGGAAGGCTGGATTGTTCCCCGCGTTTCATTCCAGGAGAAATGAAAGGGACGGGTCTGGGTCAGCCGGGACGTACTTCATTACCCTCCCATTGTACGGAGACTCCCCGACAGTGACGTAACATTTAAGGTTTTTTTTTTTTGTTTGTTTGTTTTTAAATCTAATAGTAAAAAGCGCTTGGCGACATTCAGCTTCATTTCATCCCAGAACGGTGTGTTTGTCAAAGCGGCCGGTTTGAAATCGGCGCTGAGGAAAAAGGCAACACCCACCTGGGGGAGGCCGCCCACCACGCTGCCGCTTTTCCTTCTGGGAGTTGTAGTTCTTAACTCCGTGGTTCTGGGGCCCAGGCCTGTCACTATGGACTACAGCTCCCAGGAGGCATCTGTCCTCCCCGGCGCCAATTTTTAAAAAATGGAATTTAGGGTCCGATCACCCTGTGAGGTTCCATAGGCCCCCCCCTTTTTCGCCCACGCTTGCAGCTATGACACTAAGGGATTCTTCCCAGTAGTTCACAGGTCAGGTTCCTGTTGCTCATTGTGGCTACCCTTACGCTCCTGCTTCATCGACGGGCAAACTGAGGGGTTCACTGGCAAGACAGACACACGCACGCCGCCCCCCGGCTAGGGGTGAGGGAGGGCGCGCTGGCCCGGATGGCATCCGATGGGAGCAGCCCGAGGGGTAAGCTGCACTCCAGGCTGACATGCGCCTGACACCAGCCCACCCGGCGCCATTGCCCAAACCGGAAGTATGCCCCCTGGAACTACAACTTCCAGCAGCCCCGCGCGGGCGCCCCACAACCGGAATTGCGCCGCCCAGAACTACAACTCCCAGCAGCCCGCGCGGCGCGCCCGGGTCGACTCCGGGGGAGCGGTCGCCATTGTCCGCGGCCGAGGTGAGGTGGTCTCCGGGGCAGGCCCCGGGGGTTGGGAGCGCCGGTGGGAGAGGCGGCGCCTCCTTCGGGGTCCGGGGGCCGCCAGACGGGGTCCCGCCCCGCCTTTCCCGGCCCCGGGGCCCGCGGACCCTGCGCCCCGGTCGGTGGCCGCGCTCGCCGCTGGACGCCCCGGCCCCGGCCCGCGCCCGCCTTTGTCCCCGGCCGCGCGGGGCGAGCGGCGGGACAGAAGCCGCGCCCCCGGTTGTCGCTGCCGGCGGCGGCGGCGGACCTGGTGCGGGGCGCTCGTGGGGATCCGGGCGGGAGGCGCCCTGTCTGCCCCGGGGGGCGGAGGCTGGGGGGCGGGGCTGCCGGGCGGGGCGGCTCCGGGGCTTTTCTTCTCGGACCCTGAGCCCCGGGGGCGGGGGGCGGGCGGGTGGAGAGGCCCCTGCGCCCCGGGAGGCGGGTCCGAGCCGCGGCGGGTGCCTGGGAGGCGGCGATGGGTCCACAGTCCATGGAAACGTGGCGGCGGGTGAGGATGAAAAGCCAGGATCAGAGCTGGGTGTGCGGGGCGCTGGGGCTGCAGCGGGTTTTTTTTTTTTTAATTTGCAGAAAAGCAGCGGTTTTGATGTATCGATATTATAGTTTGGGGGCTTGTTGGTGCATTCAGAAGGCTGTGCAGTTGTCACTGTTCTTTGTGTCTGTTTATATGTCTGAGGGCACGTGTGTTACACATGCTCTGGAGGCCTGGGGCAGGGGTGGGTCCGGCCGCCGCCCCCAGCGGGCCAAGCCGGCCGAGGGGAGGGGCCCCAGGAGGTTGGTTACTTGGTGTGTATATGTGTGTATATATATATGTGTGTGTATATATGTGTGTGTGTGTGTTATATAATTTATGAACATAAGGTACAAGGGCATGTACCTTGGTTCCGGGCACATCCTCAGTGGGGGGTGTGCAGGAGGCAGCAGATGGATGTTTTTAACTCTTTATTCTCTCCCTTCCTCTCTGTAAAAAATCAATAATATATATATATTTAAATGTATTTTATTGATTTTTTACAGAGAGGAAGGGAGAGAGATAGAAACATCAACCAGTTGCCTCTTGCACACCCCCCACGGGGGTTGTGCCCGCAACCAATGTACATGCCCTTGACTGGAATCGAACCTGGGACCTTTCAGTCCGCAGACCGACGTTCCACCACTGAGCCAACCCGGCCTCAGCAATAAAATATATTTTTAAAAGAACCAATAAAGATTAAGAAAAATACCATCAGTGATGAGAATCACCGATCAGCTGCCTCCTGCTCACCCCACATGGGTATCGAACCCGCAGCTCAGGCATATGTCCTGACTGGGAATCAAACCTTGCCCTCCTGGCTCACAGGTCGGTGCTCAATCCTGATCCGCTTTGCAGAACACTCTCATCACCCCTGTACCCGAGAGGCAGCCCCCAGGCCCAGCCTGCCCTGAGCCCGGGAGCCTCAGGGGTGAGGTTCCTCAGGATCTCTCGGTAGTTCTCGTCGAACGGGGCTGGCTGCCTCTGGCAGTTCCTCCCTCTCAGCTTGTTCAAATCCCCTTTTCTCTCCAGAGATCCTCGCGTTTCTTTAAAGATGAATGTGATTGTTAAAATGTCTTATTTCTTGACTTTAGAGAGAGAATAAAGGGAGAGAGAAACGTCGATTTGTTTCTCCACTTGCGAGTTCATTGGCTGATTCCTGTATGTGCCCCGAGGAGGAATCAGACCCACAGCCTTGGCGCTCCAACCACTGAGCTACCGGCCGGGCAGGCCTGTGTGTTTGGATGTAAACTCTGTTTTCTTCCTGCTCCTGGGACTCTCTCTTATATATTTATTGATTGCAGAGAGGAAGGGGGAGGGAGAGAGACAGACAGGAACATCAGTGATGAGAGAGAATCACTGGTTGGTCATTGATGGGCTGCCTCCTGCTTGCCCCACACGGGAATCGAGCCCTGACAGGAATCGAACCCGGGACCCCTCGGTCTGCAGGCTGATGCCCTGTCCACAGCCCCCGGGGCCTCCCTCGCTGAGCTCTCTGACCGCCTGTCTCTCTGTGTCACAGGTGGCGCTGCCCTCGCCTCCGGCTGCACCGACTCCGGCCCACGCCTGGTCTGTCCACCCCGGGATGGCGGCCACCAGCCCCCGGGCCTCCTGGGGTGAGTCCCGGCCCGCTCCTCGGGGGCGGGGTTTGGGGCTCCTGGGGCTCGGGGGGGTCTGTCCTGGTGCAGAATTAGAACTGAGGGAGATTTTTATTTATTTTAAACACAAATGACTTTTTGTTTTTTAAAAATATAATTTTTTTTTTTATCGATTTCAGAGAGGAAGAGAGAGAGAGAGAAATGTCAACGATGGGAGAGAATCACGGACCTGCTGCCTCCCGCACGCCCCCCACTGTGGATGGAGCCCCCAACCCAGGCCTGTGCCCTGACGGAACCGGAACTGGACTCTGCCTCCTGGTTCCTCCTCCTGAGCCTCGGCGGGCGAGGGCGTTTGGGACGGGGGACGGGTCACGGAGGGGAGCTCCGCGCGGCGCTCCGGGTTGGCGAGCCGCCTCCTGAGCTGTCTCCCTGGCCCGGGGCCTCCTGGTCCTGGTGGGTGTCCTCGGCGTCCCTTCCCGCCTGTGTGAACATCGCTGCCTGCACTGCGCGCCGGCTGCACCTCAGCCCCGTCACACCCCGCACGTGGAGGGAGCGGCTCTGCTTCTCGTGTGTTTAACTCGGTGACGTGGGGCGTGAGGTCAGGCAGGCCGCGCTGTGCTGCTGGGGGCCGTGTCCTCAGGCTCCGGGCTCGGGCCGGGCTGTGCCCGCCAGGGGGCGCTCTGCTCGCGTGTCCCAGGATCGGTCACGCACCCTCCTTTCTGCTGGTCTCCGTGCAGGTGTCCTCGCCGCCCGGCCCTGGGCGACGGCCGCTGCTCACCCCCGGGCCTGCCACGCCGTGTCCTCGGCCGGCAGGCACCCCGAGGAGCCAGGTGGGCGGGCGGGCGGGGCCAGCGCGGGGGCGAGGGTGGGGGGGGCGGTGAGGGGGGGCTGGGATGTGGGGGGGGGGGCGGGGTGCCTCCGGGGCTGAGCAGACGCTGCTGCTCAGAGCAGGGGGCTCAGCAGGGCGGACGGTGATGGGGGCTCCCCCTGCAGCGGGAGGACAGGGCCAGCCGGCCGCTGAGCACCCCACAGGGCGGGGCTGGGGCGGGGTGGATCGGGGCGGGCGGGCGCCGGGCACACCCGCAGGGAGAGCCTCGATGCCTGTGCTTCCCTCCAGCTCCATGTCCTCGGGACCCGGCCCGGCGCGAGGAGGAGGCCCCCGGGGCGGGGAGCCGGCCGCCGGCCCCGGAGCAGGTGAGATGGGCTCCCTCCCCCGAAGGTCACGGTCCCCCACCCCGTACCGTCCCTCCCGCCGTGTGCTGGTTCCGTGTGCTGGTTCCGTGTGCGACCGCTCCTCGGGCAGAGCAGGAGCCAGTCCACACCTGTCCCTGCTGCACTCAGGACGGTTCAGCCTCCACCCCCTGAGCCCGCCCCCACCCCAGCCCGCTCCCCCTGAACCCGCCCCCCACCCCAGCCCGCTCCCCCTGAACCCCCGCCCCGCTCACCCTGAACCGCCCCCAGCCCGCTCCCCTGACCCGCCCCCACCCCAGCCCGCTCCCCCTGAACCCGCCCCCCACCCCAGCCCGCTCCCCCTGAACCCGCCCCCACCCCAGCCCGCTCCCCCTGAACCCGCCCCCACCCCAGCCCGCTCCCCCTGAACCCGCCCCCCCACCCCAGCCCGCTCCCCCTGAACCCGCCCCCCACCCCAGCCCGCTCCCCCTGAGCCTCGTCCCCACCCCAGCCCGCTCCCCCTGAGCCTCGTCCCCCACCCCAGCCCGCTCCCCCTGAACCCGCCCCCCACCCCAGCCCGCTCCCCCTGAGCCTCGTCCCCCACCCCAGCCCGCTCCCCCTGAACCCGCCCCCCACCCCAGCCCGCTCCCCCTGAACCCGCCCCCCACCCCAGCCCGCTCCCCCCGAACCCGCCCCCCACCCCAGCCCGCTCCCCCTGAACCCGCCCCCCACCCCAGCCTGCTCCCCCTGAACCTGCTCCCTCTGAACCCGCTGCCCCCTGAGCTCACTGCTGGGGGTTTGGTGGGTGAGAGGCAGCCCCTTGGTTGGCAGGCCCCCTTCTCCTGTCTCCCCACCCCCGTATTCCTCTGGGTTCAGGCTGGTGTCTCCTGGGCTTTGCTTGCAGGGGGAGGGAGGGTGGGAGGGAAGACAGACCAGTGGAGCCGTCCT